TCCCTAACTTGAAGCTGATGATAGCTAGAACACAAATCAATCTTGGACAAATAAATGGCTCCCCTCAATTGATCAAATAGGTTATTGATCCTGGGCAAAGAATACTTGTTACGAATAGTAGTAGCCTTGTTTAACTCCCTATAATCTATACACAGGTGAAGTGAACCATCCTTCTTCTTCACAAATAAAACCAGTGTTCCCCATAGTGAAGTACTCTTACAAATGAAGCCCTGACTAAGTAGTTGTTGAATCTGATCTTTCAGTTCTCGTATCTTCATCAGTGCCATCTTGTATGCTACCTTAGCAATAGGTGCAGTGCCTAGAGCTAGGTCATTAATAAAGTCTATCTCTCGACACAGTGGCAACCCTGGAATCTCTTGGAATATATCCTGAAACTCTTGTACAACTGTTATACTATCGAGTGATACATTAGTCTTCTCCTCTATGTAAAATATGTGTGTGCTAGAATCCCCATAAGGTAATGGCATAACGATAAGGTACATATCCTGACCCGGTATAACGAAAACAATAGGCTTATCTTAACAATTAACCTGACCATGGTAGTGAAATAACCAATCCATCCCAAGTATCACATCATAAGAGTGCATGTCCAAAACAAATAGATTGGCTAGAAATCTAAGTCTACTAATATCTTTGGACACATACCCACAACTTTCATGCAAAATGGTACTAACACCTAAAGGTGTAACTATACTATGAGGTGTCTTACATAACTGTGTCACCATCCTAGTCTAGAAATCTGATGGTTGCCCTGGTCCTGAGGCTCCTGGTACTCTTGCTCCTCCTCTTGAAACAAAGGCAACTGCTGCTCCTCTGTAGCCTGCTGATGTCGTAGGAGATTCTGATGCCTACACTCCGCTCTCCTTTGTTGCCTTGTTCTCCACATCTACTCCCTTTCCCATCTTCTTCCAGCGTTAACCATTCTGTTAGCACAAAAAGATGAACATTAATATGCATTTAACGGACTATAAAGGAATACAATGAATTCTAATACTTAGGTTCTAAATCAAAAAATACGCTACACGGAAATTGAAATACGATAGAAACCCTTAGAGACACTTGAATCTGGAGTGCTCTGATACCAACTATGATACCCCCTAATTTTCACGTGTAGGTTGGCCAGACCTACACCCGAAGACCCGAGGATATCAAAACAATCTGATAATAAACGAACACATAATACAAAAGGAATATAATAAAATAAATAATAAAGCTGAAAGGAAAAAAACTAAATAATAAATAATTATCATCTGATACCAATACTCCAAATAAATCCAGTTAACCATAAACCTTCAAAGTACAACTCGGGAATCTGTATATCAAGGACCCCTAATAAAATCCCATAACTAAAATAATAAATATTACTAAGTCTGAGAAATTAAAGAAATATGAGATAACGTCCTACATCGACGATACGGAAGAATGAAGATGAACGATCTCTGATTTGCACAAACAACTCTAAGAATGGTACTGTCGAGTACCTGAAAAATAAATAGTGGGTCAGACCCACATACAAGTTTGCTCTACTATGACCCTATCAGAGAACCGGCAATCAAGTTCGCACTATCTATATAGTTGATACATACATATATACACATAAAGACTCTCACTAAACAGTAGGGCAGACTCAACCAAATAGTGGATATCTCATGGAAAAATCGCACATGAGGTGGTCCAGAGTCCTCTTCTATTAGGTACACACATCTCCTATATCCAGCTATCTATCTAAACCAGCAATATACACCTCAGTCTTAACCACTGATTCCGAAACCTTAAGCTCGTATCATGGCTCACATATACATATATAAAATACATTATTAATAAACAGAGTCATATCTAACAATAGCACAAGTAGAGTGTCTTGACTTATTAGCCAACCCACATACACACCAATCCAAAAAAATCATGTATAACAATGGTGTAAAATATCAAGGAGCCTAACTTATTAGTTATCTCAATAATCTCATCACAAAAAAGAATAAATCTCATCATAGCTACATCTAATAGTGGCACAGTAATTATAAATCATAATAGTCGAATCTAGAATAATAAATATGATAGAAGCATGATTAAAATCATAATACCATTTACTCATATCTAATCATGATAAAATAAATAATTACAGCCATGTATCATGCTCGCAAATCCTAAATATATCAACAACAATGATTATAATAATGAATCCAACAATTACATTTAATTACACAAATTAAATATCACGAAAGATTAAATTATACTTATTAATTAATTTAATTATTCCCATCCAACATCAAAACACGAGTGTCTATTACAAATTTATATATTTAAGGCCTGTGTCAATGTCCCCAATACTTATAAACATGTTCGGGACCATTTATACTCAAATCGGGCTCATTCAGAGCACTTTTGAAGAAAACAGGCTCCCAGAGCTCGAGCACAACATCCCTATGCTCGAGCATAACTCCTAGTGCTCGAGCACTGTGCGTCGGCCTTTATGCTCGAGCACAAAGTCGCAGAGCAATTTTGCAGATCCGTTTTTGACCTGTAAATCCGTCGTTTGGGTCCTAAAATATGATGTCTAAGTCCTATGTGATCACCAATGATATAGACAACGAAAATACACAAGATCCAACAATTTAAAACAAGTTTTATACATTAAATCAAAGAACCCATTAATTTAAAGAACAAATACATATAAAAATGATAACAATTAATTTCAATTCATTCATATCAATTAATAATCCAATTAATTATCTGATTTAAAACATAAAGTCTAGCATGTGATGGAGAAACTATAGATTCAAAGGGAAAGAGATAGATAAATAACTTGCCTTATGATTTTCGGATTGAAAATCAATTACATAAGCTCTCCGTCCTTCTTTTCTAATTCTGACAACCTTCAAGCTATCTCTGGTCACCTTCTTCTTCCTCTTCTCTCTCTCTCTCTCTCTCTCTCTCTCTTTATATCTCTACCTCTCTTTGTAACTCACATATATGTAAAAACCCTCTTCTTCTGACTACTACATATATATATATACTAACCTAGAAATCCTAACCTATGACTAACTAAAATAATAATAATAATAATAATAATAAATCCCTACACGTATTATTTTACCAAATCAATATCCACATGATATATGCATATATATATATATATATATATATATATATATATATATATATAAATTAACATACACATATAAATATATATATTAATATAAACACCTTTCCATGGGCCATAATTCCATATAACTTATCTAGGCCTTCTCCAATTAACCCAACCCATTTCTTTGGGTTAAATAACTCCAAGCCCAAATCATGATCAATTAAAATAAAATAAACCAATTAATTAAACAAGCAAAATGGACATAAACAAATAATGACAAATAAAGCACATTAAATAATTTAAAATGACCTAATTGACCAAATTAATCAAATAGCCATTTAGATCAAATAATTAACAATTAGCCAAATAAAATAATTAAAATGCAATTAAAATAATAAATTAGATGCTCTGAAAATTAGGGGTACTGCATATTTGGACCCTCTAAATCCAATGGTGATATCCGTTTGCCTGTTTGTGCATTTTGGAGGAAAATTCAAATATTAGAATTGACCGGTTGGTCCCTACCGTAGAGACTTGGTCAAAGGTGAACTAGGTTGGAAAGTAGGCAATATTATAGTGCTTTTCTAGGTTTTTGGACCTTCTGAGCACAATGGTGAGGTTTTGTGGGTGAGTTTGTCCATCTTTGTGAAAAGTCAAACTTGGGGTTGATCGCTAGGGCCCTGCCGATGGTTTTGGTCAAAGTGTGTGATGGAGAATGGTAAAGACTTCAAGGAGAGGTGTACCCTAGGGTTTTTGGTTGTTCTAAACTCAATGGTAAAGTCTGTTTGTTGTTTTGACAATCGGATCACAGGGTTGTAGTGCAAAATGTCAATGTTTCCCTTTTTGGGGAATTGGTGATCGGGTGTCGGAAAGTGTGCGATGTGGTCGATCGAAGTGTTTTGTGTCGTTATGTGATGTCGTGAGTGTAATGGTGAAGTCCGATGGCCAATCAGACGATTTGATTGTCTATTTTCAGTTTTCTATGGTAGGCGGGCCCTATTGGGGAAATGGTCTCGGGAGATGAAAACATTGTTCCTTCTCGAGATTTGGAAGGTTAGTTGGTTAAAAGGGGAAGACAAAAATGGGGTGTCTACAAGGACAAAACTATTGCAAAAGAATATGTGACCATTTCTCATTAAATTTGTCATTTTTTATTAAATTATTTTTATTATCTTTTCTCTTATATAAATATTAATTAAGCTATTTACATTAAATTTATTATTAATATCAATTTATCATAAAAATGAAAAAAAAAAAATTGTCACTATCATTTTCTAAAATGATAAACTTATTATTAAAATTTTACTATTTATAATAAAACTTATTAGACTCAGTTTAAACTTTTTTACGATAAAAACTTTCTTTTTCATACAATATATTGATGAAAAATTAATAATTTACTTAAATAAAAAATACATTCTTTTTCATGTAATATATTCATGAAAAATTAAAAAATTAATTAAATTGTTTCAAAATTTTGTACTTAAGATTTTTTATTTAAACAATTAATTAAAAAAATTAAAGATAAATTTATGCAAATTTAATGGAGAATATATCATCAAATTAGTATGAATCTTTTCATAGTTTATTTAAATAAAAAAAATATTTAAGTGTAGTAAAAAAATAGACATTATTATCCTTTAATGAAAAATAATTTAGGTATCGGAGCATTTTACAATAAAATGTGATAGCTCAGTATTGCGCACAAAATATATTTGGAAAAAGTTATCTGCCAATTCCAACATAATTTAAGGAAGTATTTTATTCTTTATCCTATAACAAAATATTCATTTCCTTCATTTAATAAAATTGAACTATTCGCTTCTTTGTTTTATACGTGGTATATTGGTATTTAAAAAAAAGAAGTTAACAACACTTTCATTTTCTCTCTCCATCATTACTTTCGCCTTCTCTCTTCCCCACTCGCGTGCTTACCCAAACGCACCGTTGGTTCTCTGTGGATATAAACACTGATAAAAAGAACCCAAAAAATCTCCTCAAAAACTCATACCAAACACGCTTTGCAATTTCCTCCACCAAGCTGATCCCAGGTATTGCCCATCTTATCCCCAAAGCTATTCCATTTCAAAATTCTTCCACAACTTTTGCGTGCAATCTCGTAGAAAATCCAGTACTGGGTTAGTATTCTTCGTGTGTATAATGGAAGATTTGCTGTCCCTGTTATAAAAAAATGGCTTCTTTAGCTCTTGTTTCAAATAGTGGGCTTCTGATTACTCAAGAATTAGGGATTGGTCATGTTGGAAAATCCAAATCTTTAGGTAGATATAGAGGTGTAACTTGTTCATTATCTAGTTCTTCCCATAGTTTAGTTCATTTACCTGTATTGGGTTTTCGTAATTGTTGTAAATTTGAAGGTAGATTGTATTCTAACACCAAAATTTGGTCACTGATCAATGAAAAAAATGGAGATAAAAGTACTCATTTGGGAAGAAGAGAAGATAATAACATTAGGAAGAGGTTTTCGTTACGATTGCGCCCGAGATTTCGATTATTGTTGAGAAAATTGAAGAGTGCGTCTATTCGGTCTGTGTTAAATGGCCTTGGAACGTTTCTGCGTAAGAATATGAAAAGAGTGACCGTCTCTACTTCAATATCAATTGTATTGGGGCTGTGCTATTTATTTTTGAGATTAACTGCAATGCCATCTCCTAAAGTTGTTCCATACTCGGATTTGATAATGAGCCTACAAAATGGGAATGTAGAAAGGGTCCTTTTTGAGGAGGGATCGCGTCGTATATATTACAACACCAACTTGGTTTGTGCCGAAAACACTCCCATGTCGGAAGATAGATCATTGGCGACAAATGTTGAGAATGAAAATGTGGTTGAAACGGTTGCAAGCAGTGACGCTGTGAGAAAACAGCAAGTAATGGGTGCAAGTGTTTTGAGAGTGTTGACAAAGACCCGTGCTTCTAACCCCGAGTGGCAGTACTCCACAAGAAAGATAGACCATGATGAGAGCTATCTTCTTACTTTGATGAGAGAAAAGGGAACTACATATAGCTCTGCCCCTCAATCAGTGCTTATGTCAATGAGGAGTATCTTGATTACTATTTTATCTCTATGGATTCCTTTGACTCCTTTGATGTGGCTCCTTTATCGTCAACTTTCTTCTGCTAATAGTCCAGCTAAAAAGCGGCGCCCTAGTAACCAGACGGTTAGCTTTGATGATGTGGAGGGCGTTGATACTGCGAAGGTAGAGCTTATGGAGGTAAGCTATTGTTGTTCTTGACATTATATTGTGTAGCTGATTTTTTTTTTTTTTTTAGTTTCATTATTCTTTCAGCAAACTCATTGTATTACTGAGTTGGATGGTGATGAGGTGTGAAATTATTACATGGAAGGTATCATAGAGTTCTTTTTCCTTGTTAAAATAATGCCCTTGACCAGGCTACATAAACCTTGAAGAGATGGAACAATGTTACATGGACTCTTCAAAAGTAGTGAAGTACCCGTGTCGGACACATATTGCTCGGACATGGGTATGAGATATGTGCGTGATACTTTTGGTTGGACATGTACTTGAAAGCATTTCCGATCATTCAATTATATTGTATTATGACTTTCAAATGAGTGAAAAGCCTATATTAAACACTATATTAGATAAAATTATTGCTTTACTCTAGAAAATAAAACAAACTAATCAAATGAAATGAATACGTAGCATTGTCTGTGTTGTCTCCTTCTGTTTAGAGATTTGACACGTCCGACGTATGGATATATACCTGTGCCCAAGTCCATGTAACATAGTAGATGACTAGTCATTATTATTTACTTCCATAACTATCAGGAATTTATGGAATTAATAATGTTATGTAAATTGAATGCAACAAGTATCTATATCTAGAAACACAGACATCTGTTTGGTAATAGAGTTTTTATGATCATCAAAGCTGCTCTTCTTTTTCTTTTTCTTTTTCTTTTTTTCCTTTTTTTAGTGGATGATTTGAGACCGTTTCGTTAGTATGCTCTTTTGCATGAAAGAGCCACCCAACAAGTGCTAGGAACACTTCCTTTGAATGATTGTACATATTACTACGTCATCATCATCATCCTTGTCTTTTTTTTTTTGATAAGTAAATATATATTAACAAAGGCGAAAATCATCCTTGTCTTTATTCCATACAGATGGTGTGAGTCACGTGAATTCTCTTTTTCTATTCATTTTGTTTCCTTTATTGCTTAAAGAACATTTCTAATTACTTCATCTCATGTAATTTTTAGTCTGGCACTTTGTCTCTTACCTTCTAGGCAAACAAATCTTCCTTTTCTTGTGGGTGCATGCATGGATCTACATTGTATATGACCATACCACATAAATCTACTTTGTCTTTTTGTCATTAATAGGCTCTGCTCCTAGGTTTTTCCTCACATTTTGATTATTAATCATACATTTTCTAGTTGCACATATTACTACATCGCTATTTCTAGAACAAAATATGTCAGTTCCTGTAGAAAGTATATATTCAAGCATCTTAATGTCAGCTGATTTAAAAGCTATATGAAATGGTAGTTTGATCTTATGATCCACCACCCCCTTCACATGACCCCCGTAAACGACATAGATTCAATTTCCCATCTTTGTCCAAATGTTGCAAAGAACTGGAAGGTTTTTTTTCCCCTTTTGTTGTGGGGAATTAGATGGAAATGTTTATTGGTATCATTGCTTTCCACCATATTCTCATTTATCACTTCCTCGAAATTAGGTTTTATTTTTATATTCCAACATAACATATTAGATAGTGAAAATTGCTTCCTTTTCATTAATATTTTCATTGTTTAATCACCCATATTGTGTAAATGTGTTGGAAGGTGTATTAAAATTTCAAATTAAGTAAATTGCTTCCTTTTCATTAATATTTTCATTGTTTAATCACCCATATTGTGTAAATGTGTTGGAAGGTGTATTAAAATTTCAAATTAAGTAACTTTCTTCCCAGAAGTTTTAATGTAACTTGTAAATTGACAATTGTGTAGCGGTGAGGTGTGCCAAATAACTATGCTTGTCCGACTGTTGGTAAAAATCAGGATAGGAATTTTGGGGTGAAAAAACGAAAGAAAAAAGAGAGAGAATCAATATTATGGATCACGAACTCATTATGACACTGAGAATTGTCTTAACTAAAATTACGTAATGCCAAATGGAATCAAATTCAAACTGTTAATGTTGAGGTTTAATAATCTTTCTTATATAAAGGGTTCAAGCCTTGCATCGAACTATTAGGATTCAAATCCAGTTTGAGTTGAAAGATTTAATCCAGTTTGAGTTGTAGGATTTAAATGTTACATAGTAAAGTTTTTGTAAATATTAAAAGGTTTATTTAAATTATCTTAATGCCATGGTCCGTCCAAGAGTTGAAAATTTATTATTATTTTTTTAATAAGAAAAGTATATTAAAGGAATGCACCTAAAGGGGGGCAAGCCTTGTACACACAAAATACAAAGGAGCTATCAATTAAGGTCCTTTGATGAACTTAAGTTTCCTGTAAATTCAACAAAATAATGAATAAATCTGGAAAATTCTACCATCAACTTAAATTTAAAATATTCAAAATTACATTTTTTAGTTTGTGGGGTGAAAACTGAAAACTCCACGTCCTCGAAAGTATGCCTTTAGTGCTACTTCCAAGGACACCACATAAGACAAAAAGGGGCTGCCCTCCGGGCCCTTTTAACCATTTTGTTTGTGCAATCCCCAGCAATCCTATGAGCTCCACAACTGAACACAACAAAATCTAGTGTACCTCAAAAGAGTGCACAAAATACTCCAGATATCTCTAGCTACTGCACAATGAGTCAAGTAGTGATTAATATACCCTTTTCTGCTTTACACATGCGATACAACTTTGAGAAAGATTTTTCCATCCTTCCATATTATGTATGGAAGAAAGATATTCTCCATACAAAATCCTTTTGATGTATTATAGGTACTTAATAATTTTGTTAACACTTGGATCCTTCGATTGCTTTACCATTTATGAAGCTGAGTAGTTGAATTTAGAGTACCAACTTCAGTCTAATTAACATCCTTGAGTCATCAAAGTGTTCTGTTGTGTGTTCGATTTTTTGTACGTACTTATGGATGAAGTGTAGGGCATAATAATTCCCTAAAATTCTAGAAGTATAGCTTATCAATGACTCCTGTTTCTATGCTCCTTGAGTTAGGGTGAAAAAAAGAAGTTTTGGGTTTCGGCTTACTCAAACAAAGAGCCAAGATCTATATTTATATACAAGAATAGGGTACAAAGAAAGGAAACCAAATCAAAGAAAGACAGAAAATATGTCAAAATCTATGTGATCCCATGATTACGGGGATCTTATCTACGCGATCCCATGATTATAATGATCTTACATAAAACATTTAATAAAAGGCTAAAAACAACTAATAAAAATATTAAAGATATTTCAACACTCCCCCTCAACCTAGAGTGAAGATATCAGTCAAGCTGAGCTTGGTAATCGAGGAATGAAGCAAAGATGGACCAATAGACTTGGTGAACACATTGGCCGACTGATTAGAGGAATGAACAAAGTACGACTTGATAGTTCCCGAACAAACCCTCTCTCTGATAAGATGAATGTCCACCTCTATATGTTTAATCCTCTCATGAAGAACAGAATCTGAAGCAAGCATGATGTTTGACTTATTATCACAAAACAAGTTTGTGGACTGTTTTTCACCTAGCCCTAGCTCCTCCAAGAAAGATCAAAGCTAGAGAATCTCACAAGTACCCTGAGCCATGGCACGATACTCAGCCTCTGCTGAAGATCTCGAAACTATAGGTTGTTTTTTACTTTTCTAGGATATAAGATGGTCTCCATAGAAAGTACAAAAGCCAGATGTGGAACGTCTATCAGTCGTGGACCCAACATAGTTAGCATCACTGAAATAGGATAGTCCAACCTGCTTGCTAGAAGAATAGAATAATCCAAGTCCAGGACAGGACTTAAGATATCAAAGAATATGATATATCGCATCCATATGAGCTGTGCGAGGAGCATCCATAAACTGGCTCATAACATTATCCGCAAAAGCCAAATCAGGATGGGTGTTGGTAAGATAAATCAATCTTCCTACCAAGCGCTGATACTGCAAGGGATCAGAAAGGAGATCTCTGGACTCAATCGAGATCTTTAGATTAGGATCCATAGGAGTGAAAACAGGTTTACACCCAAGCATACCCGTGTCTCGAAGAAGATCCAAGACATACTTCCTTTGTGATAAAGAGATACCCTGCTTAGATCTAGCAACTTCAATTCCCAAGAAATATTTGAGCTGCCCAAGGTCTTTCACATCAAAAGCTTTAGCCAATTGAAGCTTTACTTGAGCAATCCCAGGGATGTCATTGCGAGTAATGATGATATCATCAACAGAGACAAGCAGAATGATACATCGACCAGTGAAGGAACGGTAAATAAATAAAACATGTAAGGTCAGAATGGCATCTAACAAATTCCATGGATAGAATTACATCACTGAAGTGGTTGAACCAAGCTCTGGGAGATTGTTTTAATCCATACAAAGACTTCCGCAATCGACAGACCTTTCTAGCATACTCCCCCTTAGCCTGAAAACCGGGTGGAGGATCCATGTAAATAGCTTTAAGAAGATCATCGTTAAGGAAAGCATTATTCACATCAAACTGATGAAGAGGCCAATTGTGAGACGCAGCTAGCGAGACAAGTGAGGTCAATTTAGCCACTGGAGCGAAGATATCATTAAAGTCTTTACCAGGAATTTGAGTAAACCCTTTGGCCACCAAACGGGTTTTATACCGATCAATAGAGCCATCAGCCAGATATTTAACACTGAATACCCATTTGCAACCAATAGTCTTTTCACCAGGAGGGAGAGATACAAGCTCACATGTTTCATTATGTTGCAAAGCATCCATTTCTACTTTCATAGCAGACATCCAATTGGGATTCTGGAGAGCCTCAGACAACTTTCTGGGATGGAAATGGAATCAAGTTTGCCTAGAAAGGCTCGGTAAGACCCTGAAAGACCATTATAAGAGATATATTGCGAAATAGGATGATCAGTACTATAAGCGAATCCAAATCGAGTAGCGTTTGCGATCCCGAGTGGGGTACCGAGACTCAGGAACAAGAATAGGGTCAGGGGAATGTAAAGGAGAGAGAGATTTACCTAAACCTGAATCTGAGGAGGATGAAGGCAGTGGAGGCGGAGCACGAGGGTGGCATGAATA